GTAATACATGTGAAAATGTCCCGGAAACCGCTGAACATGTACTTTTCGAGTGCCCTTCGTTTTCATTAGAAAGAGAGAGATTAAATACTTTGACTAAAGAGGGCCTGAGTACGGAAAATATCATTGAGCACATGTTGAATGATAAAAAAGTATGGGGCACATTAAAGAATATAAGCAGAGAAATAATGACAAAGCTAAGGATCAGAGAGCAACGCCGCCGCTTAAAAAGAGGAAATAGTTGAAGTTACTTGTGTTCAAAATTTCTTCTTTTATCTTATTTTTTGCATTTCTTTGCAGGTAAACCCTGTGAACACCAAAACGCTCCTGAACCCCTAATCACATTAGTGGATGGGGAATTATGGAAAGGGCGGTATGACGTGGGGCATGTTTATGCTACGGCCTCACCCCGATGTAATACGCGAGTGGTTCCGGGGAGGTGGCTTTTGGAGAGTTTCGCACGGGCCACTTGATGGATAGTTTCCCTATCCCAACGTCCGTTAAAAAAAAAAAAAACCACCCGACTTTGCTTCCGCGGAACACCCGACCTATATCAACTTTTCTAAACCTGATTGGAAAGGCTTCGCGGAATTTACTGAGAGCACCTTCGCTGTGCTCCCCACACCAACCGCCGTCCACCTTGGTGGTTCCGCAGGGTTGTCACTGCTGCTGCAGCTCGCTTCGTACCGGCAGGATGCATTACGGAACCCCGTCCAAACTTCCCCGCTGAGCGGCTGTTCTAGCCGATGAGCGTGACAATCTTCGTCAGGCCGATCCCGGAAATCCCCGTATCAGGGATCTCAACGCGGAGCTTCGGGAGCTTGTGAACGTACATAAGCGGAAAAAGTGGGAAGAGCGTCTGAAGGTTGTAACTTCGCCTCTGGTGAGAGTAAGCTTTGGTCAACCGTGAGGCCACTGTCCAATACGACGAAGCACGACGACAGGGTCGAAATTTCTTTCGGCGACCGTGCTTCGTCGGACCCGGAGCGATGCGCGAGCTATTTTAGCCGGCAGTTCATACTGCAACCTCCGGCGGACTAAGCCAAGCATCGAGTGACCAGAAGGCTCAAATTGCCAACAACTTTTGCCCCTCCTGCTTTCACTAGCGGTGAAGTTCAGGTAGCCATCGGGAAGGCGAAAGCCTCCAAAGCCATGGGGTCCGACGGAATATGCATGTTGATGCTGAAAAATATGGGGCCTGCGGGAGTAGCGTACCTAACGGAGGTCCTCAATCTGTCAATGGCCACTCTCATCATCCCAGGCATCTGGAAGATGGGGAGAGTGGTTCCACTGCTCAAACTGGGAAAACCAGCCAACAAAGGATAATCTTATCTTCCGATAACACTCCTTTCCCCGGTAGCGAAGACACTAGAGGCCTTGCTACTCCTGCATTTCACGAACCACCTGAACCCAGCGAAGCATCAGCATGGTTTCCGTAAATCTCACAGTACAACAACAGCACTTAACGCCATAAACATGCAGATAACACGTGGCCTAAACCGCAACCGTCCCTGTGAGAGAACAATTCTAGTAGCGTTGGACCTGTCAAAGGCGTTTGACATCGTCAGCCCCTCCACGCTGCTAGAAGACATAAAGGCCTCCTCTCTCCCACAGAGGCTCAAACGGTGGTCGGCGAATTATCTAAGTGGTCGACACTCGTCAGTAATGTTTAATGACAAATCGAGTAAACCTAGAAAAATAAAACAGGGGGTTCCACAAGGTGGTGTCATTTCCCTATTATAGTTTAACTACTACATTACAAAGCTCCCTCAACCACCAGAGGGAGTCTCGATTGTCTCCTATGCTGACGATTGTTCGATAATGGCATCTGGGAATGGAATTGATGACTTGTGTTTGAAAGTAAACGGGTATCTCTCCGAGCTTTCTCGCTTCTTCACTGCTAGGCACCTAACCCTCTCCTCTACAAAATCCTCTGTGACCTTGTTCACCACCTGGACAAAGCAGGTCAGACTACCGCTAGGAATTTACGTCGATGATACACCAATTCTGACGGTGAATAACCACAAAATACTCGGAGTAACCTTCGACAGTGTTCTATCCTTCACAGCGCACACAACCGCTATTGTCGGCAAAGTACACAGCCGCAACAAGGTCCTCAAGTCGCTAGCCGAGAGTACTTGGAGCAAAGACAAAGAAACGTTGCTGACAAGGCAATAGGCTACAATAGCTCAAATTCGCACTGGCTACTGCAGCAGGTTAAACTCATACCTGAGCATATTAGACGCAGATGTGCCAGATGAGTGTCCGGCATGCGGAGAGATACCCCACGACTCGAAACATCTCTTCCTATGCTCGGAAAATCCGACAACTCTAACGCCTTTGTGGCGTTTGTGTAGGTTAGGTGTGGGCCGACCCCATTGAGGCTGCACGCTTCTTAGGGCTTCCGTTAGTGGAGCTTGACGGCAACGCTACTAAGATTTCAACCAATCTGGGCGGCGTTGGTGTAGCCGCTACAACATCAACAACAACAACAATGTCCTTTTTCCGTTTTGAATAAAGTTTCGTAAAGTTTCCCCTCCAACCAGTTGTCTGCTTGGCGTATAAGCTTATTTCTATTAAAAACGAGCTCGGCTACTTGTAGCAAGCACTTGGGGGACACCGGACGCGATCCAGCCACCACCCCTGCATAATTATCAAGCTAACATTGTAACCCAACTTCAATTTTAATATAATAAATAAACCGCCAACACCATACATTTATATCAAGTATATTAAAGCCTGGCCTTTTATTTTTTCTCGTTTTTCAAATAAAAACACTGGTGATTTATTGGAGTTTCAAAACCAAATAAACGCCACGGGTTTTCAGGTTCTATACATAAAATAAGCTAAACGTGTTCGAGGAATTTTTTTTTCTTTTTTTTCTTCGGAGGTATAATCTGTCAAAGTTTGCATTTCTGCGTGATTCGAACTAATCATGTACTTTTTAAATCGTTATATCTCGGGTTTTACTCATCATAGGGACTTCATCTTAACGTCGTTTTAAAGCTTAGGTAACGGGCTTAACACTTCTTTATATAAGCTAGTCAAGATTGTCGTTAAGCTAACTTTTCTATTAACAGTTGGACTTTTTGAAGTTGATTTGCATAGTGAATACCAGTATATTAGGGATTTGAAATTACACTATTGTAATCCTTGTTTAATTTTTTATAAAATACGTGGTTAAAAAATTGCATTTTTCAAGAAATATTTTTAAAATATCTTTCTTTATGGCGAGATGGTTTATTGTAATTTGTATTCGAAAACTTATATTGAAATATATTTAGTAAGGTGTTAAACATCGGGATTTTGCAAAAAGTAAAATTTAATTGAGGATTCTGACAGAATACCTATCCAGATATAACATTTGTACGGCAAGACTTTTATTTAAGGCGACAAATCCCTGGAAATGGGCCTGGAAATTGTTGGACTAATGTTAGCAAAGCGCAGATTTCATTGCGGATTTCGGCTAGAATATCGTTTCGTTAACAACATTTGTTCCACAACTTTTTCAATCAAATAATATTATAGAAATGGGCGTGGCTATATTAAAACTGAAATTCAAAAATTTTGACTTTATTGTAAATTTCGCCAGAATATCTATATGCATTGAAAAAGTTGTGGAACAAATATTGTTAACGAAGCGATATTTTTCCGAAATCCGCAATAAAATCTGCGTTTTGCTAACTTTAGTCCTGCAATGACCACGCCCATTTCTAGGGGTTTGTTGCCTTAAAGAAAAATCTCGCCATACAAATAATATATCTGGATAGGTATTCTATTGGAATCCACAATAAAATTTTACTTTGAAGCAAAGACCCGATGTTTAACACCTTACTAAAGAACTTTCTAGAAAATTTATAAAAATTGAAAAAATTTAAAAACAAATTGTAGCCAATTCAGTTTCAGAAGAAGACGAGCTCGAGTCAGAATCTGTTTGCATATTTTAAGCTACAAATTTAAAACATATTTAGTTAGTGTGCTTATAAAATACAACATTCACATTCAAAGCTACATATATCATATCCAAGGTAGTTTGTACCTTTTCAAAATTTTTAGAACTTACATTGCACCGTAGCAGTAGCCGTCTTAAGTTTGACATACTGCCAGCCGATTTCTCAGTGGATGTTTAATTATAATCAAAACATTGGGCCTCATGCATAAAAAGTGAGCTTAAGCTCCGACTCGATTTTCAGTACAAATTCTTGAGCTTGAGCTCACCCTTTCAGTGCAAAAATTGAGTCTGAGCTTAAGCTCACTTTTTATGCATAAGGCCCATTATCTCTTATTGTCATCTTCTCAGTGTACTTAATATATGATTAACTCACCACCACCTTTCATAAGATTTATTAATGACGAAACCAGCCTTTCCTGTAAATTCAGTAAAACCTGCAAATCGTGAAGTTGGGTTGGGTTGAATCCAAACAGTTTGTTATTTTGTGAAATCCTAGGAAATGAAACAATTGCAAGCTGACACCTTTTTTAGTAATGGTTTCAATCTGCTGACACGTATGCGTTGTCAAAAACCATTGTTTTGAACATGTAAACCTCAAGCAAATGTCAATTACACCAATTTACAAAAGTATTTATCAGTACAAAATTAGTAGAAACTCAAAAAATCAGTAGATTTTGCGTACTGATTTCTGGCTCTTAAAAATCAGTACAATAGAAAAAAATCAGCACATGTACTGATTAAATCAGCGCATCTGGCCACCCTAAGTGGATGTCGAGTGATAAGTGAAGTTTTTTGTTAGTTTATATGTAACTACAATATAAGTGTCTGTCCAGTAGCAAAATGTACATATATAAGTATGCAATACTTTTATATATTTATGTCTAATTGTTGTGCTTTTATGTTTTGTGTTTTTCAGTAAATATCAGACTCCCTGATGAAGGCGTGAAGGACGCCGAAACGCGTAGGAGGGAGAAGGAAAAATAAATTTTGCCTTTTGATTTTACCGGCCGAAAAGTTCCGCATACAACCCAATAGGAAGATTGAATAACTGGCCCTAGAAAAGTATCAACTATTCTTAATATATATATTTTTTTTAATAAAACATTTGCAAAATTTTGTCTATTGACACCCGGAATTAGTTTGTTTGCTCTCCTGAAAAGTTATTAAAAAACACATAACTGTTTTTGTTGGCGCAGCGACGGTATATTCCTTTGGTTTATTTATAAAAATAAGCTATCCTGGATTTCTTCTTCTTATGTAATACGTTATATCAATATGGCTTTGCTGCGTCCTTTGAACGCTTATGTTGCACCTTTAAACGTTTGGATCCGATATGGAAACCATGCATGGCTTGAATGGCTGCACTGGCCGAATGGGGATTATCGTAGGAGACGAAACCAAAGCATTTAGACAGATTGGTTTGTTTGTCGATGAAAACTTTGGCGGAAAGCACATTACCGAATGGTAGAAATGTGGATGCGAGATCAGTGTCGGTGAATTCTTGGGGTAGATGATAGATGAAAAGATTGCTGCCTTCTGGTCCTGAAAAACGTAATGGTTTAAATTAATAGAAACATGTAAATAATTGTTTTAAAAGTTGCATAATAATGTAGTAAAACTTAAATAATTTTAGAGTTACTAAGCAGAGTAGAAGGAACTGCAATAGTTATTATCTTATAAGATAGAACTTATGATTATCATTATCAATTTTTACACATCATAGGACCACCAGTCCTTTTTGTGGACTATTAAGTTTTGCAGCAAATAAGCGTTGTACGAGTAGTGTTAAGTCTACAAGGCACCCTAAATGAATTGCAGGGACTGATACATATATGTTAAATATTATTATAATCTTTAAGGCGTAAGAAAAACAGTTGTTTTACGAATGGACTAGGTGTTTTGGTTAGGTTAGGTTAGGAGGCAACCCCGTGTATGCGAGGCTCACTTAGACAGTTATTAGATTGTCCTTTGTGATACCACAATCTTAACCGGCACCCAATACTTAATCGATAAATCGCCCTGAGCCGATTATATATTTACTAATTCGGCTAATCTCAATGCCCCAGAGCTCCTCGGCGCTATTGAGGATGTGAGAGCCAAGGTACTTCAACCTTAGCCTCGAAAACGCTAGTCACCCAAGAAGGTGGTGTTGAGGTGATTCCACCTCGTTATCTTCCATGCAACCTCGACAAGCGGGGTTCGCTAGTATTCTCAGCCCTACTGCGTGCATATTTACCAATTGGACAGAGACCCGTGAGTGTGTCCACCCTCGCCCAGCAGGACATTGCGATCGCGCATGTCCTGGTGTTTGCCCAGTGCTCGCTGAGCTGACATGTAGGTGTTTTGAAGAAGGTTTTTAGAAATATTGGATGCTGATTACGTATTTATTATTTTAATTAAAAAAATGTGTCTAAGTAAAAGCATATTTGTTGAATAAATGAAAAAATAGGAACAAAGATCAAATGAATAAATAAGACAAGAATTCTATTTTTTTTTTTAATATATTTGTATGTGTAACCTTTATCTGGATTAGAATTTTTCTCGATATTTGTAGTAAGATTTAGTATTTTATTGTTGTATGTATCAAATAAAACACGTCTTTGAGATAAAATTTTCGAGTGACGAAAGCTGAACTAAAAACACAAAATTCATGACATCAATTTCGTGACAAAAATTATACAATTTTTATACCCGAGGGCACTTGTGCACAAGGGTATATTAATTTTGTTCACAAAACGGTTGTTTGTAACAGCCAAAACGAATCGAGATAGATATAGACAAATGTATACATAAATGATCAGAATGAAAAGAGAAATCGATTAAGCCATGTCTGTCTGTCCGTCTGTCCGTCCGTCCGTGTACACGATAACTCGAGCAAAAATTGAGATATCTAAACGAAATTTGGTATGTAGGTTTCCATTTATCCAAGGTAGGTTGGTATTAATTACCAGGAAGGTAGGTTGGAATTAATGCATGTGTACATTTATATATATGATAAAAAAAATCCCTAAAATAAAAAGTTTGGGTTTTCCAAGGTATGTACGAAGTGATAGAACAGCTGCATTCGTCAACTTTTATTTAATCGTAGTAACGCTAGCTCGGTTCACCAAACATCCTATCCACGATATCATAGCATTCACACTCAATGCATGCGCGCGGGAGTGCGCGAGTGACGAAAGCAGCCACAGTAGCATGCTGAAATAACTCGCTTATCACAGCGCACGGCAGTGCGCGCGAGTGACGAAAGCAGCCACAGTAGCATGCTGAAATGACTCGGTTATACAGTGGTGGAAGAAATAATAGAAACTTTTTACTTTGACCAGTTTTGGCTATATTACTTTGTTTATTCGATGTTTAATATTTTTGTATAAAAGTCTAGCGCAATATATAACACACACCATATAAATCCACATTTCAAAGTTTGTACAAAAATTATAAAAATTCAACAAATTTTATCAGAATCCCCCGAAAATTTAAAACTTTTCAATCAGATTTTTTTGAAAGATTTTGGATATGCAGTTTTATAGCCCATTAAATTTTTTAAAACTGCAAACCGCAAGACGCTAGAAAATCGCGTTGATTTTTAATAATTTATTTGGCTGGCGGTGTTGTGCATTTTCTTCCATATAAAGTATGCTCGACCATGCCCATTCCCCGATTGCCACCTAAACCGAAATTCCCTGCAAATCGGGCAATTTCCCGCGAGTTGACAAGTTGAAGGATGCAGCTGTGCTAATCACTTCGTACATGTCTTGGAAACCCCAATTTGTGTGTATTTTAGAGCTTTTTTCATTTACATGCCGAAATTGTAACATTTTTCCCCATTTTAATTGCAGGTATGTACACAGTATTTAACTATGCTACATGGGTTTATCACCCGCACCTATCTGGGAAGACGCGTACAATATTACCTACAGCTGTACATAAATATGTATGCATGAATGCATTTACCCTGCAGTGAAACCCCAAACTAGTCAGGAAAAATTCTAGTTTACAACTAGAATTTCCTGACAGAAACCGAACTAGTTCGAAAATGATCAGACTTGTGACAAGTACAAAACGATTTAGTCATGCCATGTTTTATTTGACTTCGACAGTTTAATACAATAAAGTATACAAAATATTATAACTTTTATTTGGGTATATTTTGTAAACCAATAAATCGTAAATCGTAATTGTAAATAAAAAAAAA